TTTGCTTTTGATTAAACCAGGTGCAGGCTATGTGCATCCAAGATAGGCAAGACCAGTCCCTCTTATAAACAGTAATGGATAAAACAAAACAAAACAAAACATCTTTGCTTTTGATTAAACCAGAAGGGCGACAAACTGCTGAGGAGAGTTAAGAAATTCACAGGCTAATAACTATGTGGGGCACATGTTCTTTTCATACTGCTCCCAATCATGTTCTCCCCCCTGGAGCCGGGGACCGATTATTTTCCGCGATATTTTAAATCCAAAGGCGGCAGTCTTTAGATTGGGTATTTAAACTCTGTGAAATCCCAAACTGTACATCGTTTCACAGTTTCCTTTCTACGTAATGAAAATGAAATTCACTTGGTTTCACTTTTATGGGAATAGGCAGGACAGCAGTAGCTTTGAGCGTATCACTAGGGATGTGTTAAAAATAGATTTTACTTGAGGCAATGACACTACATGGTAGACAGTTGGCAGGAGAGAAAAATTAAGGTAAATTTTGGGCTTGTATCGTAAATACTAAATCTGAATTCTACTTAAGGCTATATAAGAAAAAAATGGAAATGATTTTCATTTGAAGATGATAGCGTAAACATTTGGGTGTGCTGTTGAAATATTTTTTAGGTAAAACTTGATGTATAACAATATGAAGATACTGTCACTTGTTTTTAGCTATGTTTTTGGTGGAATGACTGAGGCCAAGCTAGGTTATGGGTGACTGACTGGGTTAATAGTGATGTCAATTAGAGTCTACTTCAGCTCTGATCATAAATAGATCAGGGAAAGGTCAGGAATGAATTATGCTTTTCCATGTTACTCTTAAAATAGTAACATGGGTTTGATAAGTCTTATACCAGTAACTTTGAATATAAATTGTGAACAGCCTTCATTATACTTCCTTTTGTTTATTTACCATGCATAAACTTTTCACTGTCTTACTTTCTCGTGCCTGTGTTTTCTGGTAGCACGTAACACCAATAGCTACTATTAACTTGCCAAAAAAATAAAAGAAAAAAATATATCCAATTGAAATAAGTTTTAACTGTTGCTCTGTTCTTTTTAGCTTACATTCCCCAGAGCTCTTCCATCCAGGGAGCTGCAAGCGTGACATTTGCTGTGTTTTCAGCACCTGCCAACTTGGAGACCAGGGTTTGTGCTCGGGACTTAGGCTTACAACCCACACTTTGTGGCGCACAATGCCGTCCCAGCTGGCATGCCTCGTACCTCAATGGTGCTAGACATTTGGTTACAAAGCTGTGCAGATTCACATGCACTGATTTCAATAGGCATTCCGCTTCAAGCTGCTTTCAACTCTCATATCAAAGAAGTTAGATTGGTATCATTAAATTCACTGCCATCGAATTTATTTTTCAATGGAAACACATTTGTTTTATTTAGTTCTTGAATCAAAAAGTAACTTTGTCTTCAGGAATCTAAGTGCCTCTTAAAAAAGGTGTGTTTATAGATACAGGCGATACCTCTCTGTGTGTAGGTATTTATGGCTATCTGTCTGGCTATCTATCTGATCTCTGTCTGTCTGTCTGTCTGTCTGTCTGTCGATATGAGAGAGATTCCAGCCAGAGCTATAATTCCTTTTCTTCAGTGGAAAAGTTTCAGGACATAATATAAAAGATCAGAAAGGAGAGAACAGAAGGATTAGTGTGTCATCACATGCACATGTAGGTAGGGCTGCTAGTTGTAGCTAGCTCATAGATGTGGGAACAATTATATAACAAACTTATTTTTGTGAATAAAGTCTACAGTAGAAAATTGTCCCCATAGTAGATTCAGATTTTTGACTTTCCTCTATAACCACTTTCCACATTTTCCAAAGAAATGTATATTGCTAACTTGTTTTCAGTGGCCCGTCTCTTTGAAAATGCTTCAGGTGGACTTGGCGATGTCTTCCCATCATCTATTATAAGCAATTTTAAAAGGTTCTGCCTTATAAAAGGTCTTTTCAGATTTAGAAAGGACAGTGTGAAATGTGAATGACTGGCTTTTAATACAACAGTTGAGACAAACAGGCAGTGGCTTTTGGGAGCTGAATAAAGGGGTTAATACTTACACATCTGCATACTGTGCTCTTGGGTCCAGTGTCTAACAAGTTCGATATTTGTTTCATCCACTTTATTCTAAGTAGAATATATGCAATGTTATTCTCAGAGACAAACTAGTTTGTGACTTTTTAGTGGCGAGCTCTTTTTACAGAGATTGAGGGGTAGAACTGAATGACATTGACCAGTCCTTGCTCAAACCTCAAAGCTTAGCTCCCTGTTGCTTGAATATCACATTCATCTGCTTCTAAAGGCACAAAAATAAAACACCCACTAACTACCGGGGACACTCCTTAGTGCATATCAGAACCCAACCTTTACCCTCCTCTGCACAAATGTGCTTAGTGAATACTTTATTAGCTTGTTGATACAAGTTATAGTTGGTTACACCCTTTCTTAGTAAAATACACCCTTATTGTCTCCTGTTGCTTAAGAGCCTTACACTTGGAATAGGGGAACACTGTAGTATAGAGCAATCCTCAGTTTAAATTCTCCTAGGCATGATGAGGAGACATGACGCGTGTCCCTTTGGTGGTTCTGCTTTGAGAGGGACCAGGAGAGCCAGTATTGGTGTGCTTTCTCCCGGTTTCGTATACTAGTCTTGGAGGGAGTCTGTATGTGATCCCTGCATTTTATAGTTCCCAGGTGTTCGTGGCTTACCCCAGTTAGTGGTGGTCACTGATAATGGAAAAGTTACAAGTGATCATTTCGGATTATTTATGGATTTATTCCTAAATGGACTTACGCATTTGTGTTTAGATGCCTGGTTGTGTTCTAAATCTGGTTTTGATTTGGTTTTGACCTTTAAGGATTGAACAAAGGTAGACCGCCTCCCCCCACGCCCCCCACGCAGCTTACACTATTTTACGTCCAGAGTTCAGCTGCATTTATATTTACTCTTCTGAATTGAGCAAAACTGTAATATACAACCTTTGGATAGGACTTTTTAAGTTATAATAACTAGGTACTATAGCCTTAAAAAGTAGGGGTGTCTTAGATCTATAGGAGTTACTGCATAATGTGGGAGGACCCATATGGTATGGAAGGTTAAGTGACCTTCCAGGCCTTAATGTATATACTTTTTAGCCTTTGGAGATTCAAATTAAGGACATGAGAAATAGCCATTCAGTGATTAGTAGCACAACTCCTTGAGCAGGTATTTTAGTTCTGTGCATTTGCAAGAAAGCCTCAGAACCAGAAAAACAGGCTGCTTTAGGTTGGAAAGGAGGCGTTGCAGTAAAGGAGCTTGCCGTAACCACAATCCTTGGAATTTTCTGAGACTAAAATCATCCCGAAAGCAACAAGAATCATGGTTGCGATAATGGTCTTCAGGCTCGGGACCCCTGCATTTTGTTTTCTATGTTGACCTGGTGAACTAGTAAGTGTGGGAATAAGCTGAATGTTTGCCAGCAGGAGTCACTCTAGGCTTCCTAATAAAAAAGTAAATTAAACTATATTCTTAAAGTGCTCAAAGGCCGAGGTGACGCTGTGATAAAATGGCATTCGGCAAGTGTAGCAACCATTCTCAAAGAATCCCTTGTGCCTTTTCTTTAATTTAGGAAGACTTGGTTCTTGCCTTCAAAATTGGCCCTTGATAAATTCTTTTAAAGCAATCTTTATGGATAAGGATATCAGGATCTTAACATTGTCCCTGTTAGCTCATTTTGGCTCTCGTAGGATGAATTGGTGATATCCCACATCATCTACTTGAATGAATAGACTCACGTCCTTCTGACTCGTTCATCCTAATCTTGCAGAAGAAATCACTGGAGTGAGCTGGAGTTGGTGTGAAAGGAGATGTCAGCTCATGATTTTCTGAAAAAGAATGGGTCCAGTGTGATGAGAAACTGAAATATTTCAGCAATAGCCATGAAATATAATAGTTTCCCAAGTGCTCAAGAAGTTAATTGTTCATTTATGTTTGATACTGGGATTGAAACATTGGATTAAAACCAATTAAATGTTCCTAGAAGCAACAGAAAAAGTTTCCTGATTTATGAATAGAACCATTCAAATGGCGCAGACACAATCCATGTAAAGTAATGAGGTGTTTTGTTTTTTTGGCAAAGGAGAACACAAAACAGGCATAGGGGAGTTCTTAAAAAAAAAACACAAAACAACCTTCTCTTTAAAAATCTCTTTGGATGCAAGGTCAATAAAATAACATACACTAGTAGGACGGAGTAATGGGAAATCTAGGACTTCGCAAGGAAAACAGTCCCCCTCCCCCAGGTGAGCAGTACAATGAAAATACTCTGCTTATTCTATCAGGGTTACATTCCTGAACTTAAGTCAACATCCTAAGTTACAGAACGAAACATGCTCTGCCTCTGCTTAGCAACCACAAATCCTTCCTTCACCAGTTGCATATATTTTGCATGTGGCTTCTGAAGTACACATTCCTTTATTTCGATCAGCGCCCCGAGTTAGGAAACTAGCGCTTTATTTTCCCAAAGTGTAACAACACTAACGCGGCCCCCCCTCCTCGGCCGCCCAGCACGCCACCGAAACGATCGTTTCTTTGAAACCTCAAAACCCAACAAACCCGGAAGCTGGACGTCTGAAGTCCACGCGGCCCAGGGTGGTTGTTTTTTTTTTTTCTTTTTTCTTCCCCTTTGCTCCCGTTCGAGCGGGGGGCGGGGGAGACGCCCGCGGGACCCCTGGCCCCGGGCCCGGGCGGCCGCGGAGCGGGGGCGGGTGGGCGGCGCGGCCCGGGCCGGGGGCCACTTCCCGCGTCCCGGGGCCTCGCAAGCGCGAGCTCGGCGAGCGGCGCGCGGCTCGGCTCGCAGGACGCCCTCTAGCCCCGCCGGCGGCGCGCCGCGGCCCCCCCACTCCCCGCCCACCGGCGGCTGCGCGCACTGCACGCTCGCCCGCCGCCGCCGCCGCCGCCGCCGCCGCCGCACGCCCGGCTCCTGCACGCCGCCGCCGCCGCCGCCGCGCCGAGCGCCCGGGCCCGCGACGCTGCCCCCAGAGCGCCCGAGCCCGCGACACGCAGCCGAGGTCGGGCGGCCCCGCGGCGGCGGCGGGCGCGGCGGGCGCGGGCGGCCTGGCCGGGGCCGGTTAAAGGGACGAGTTGCAAACAGTTCAGGAAGTGACAAGTCGATTTCCTCCTCCCCGGGAGCCGCTCGGTACAAAGCGCTCGGCGCCGGCAGGACAGCGTGCGCGCGGCGGACGCGCGGCGGGCAGCCCGGACGACTCGGCGAGCGCCGGCGGCGACGGCGCGGGGCCCCCGCCCGGAGCGCCCCGCCGCGCACAGTAAGCGACCCGGGCCGCGCGGCGGCGGCGGCGGCGGCGGCGACGGCGGCGGCCGAGGGGCCGGTCCCGAGCGGAGGTCCCTGCCGTGTGCGCCGCGGCCGGCGGCGGGACAGACCCCGCTCTCGCGTGTGCTGGGCTGGCCCTTTTGAGATTTTTAAATTACGATTATTTTTTTAATGTCGCTGGCTTCCTTTTTTTTTTTTTTTCCGCCTTGTTTTCGGGTTGGGTCAGGCGGTTTCCCTCTGGTGCAGGCGTGAGACTTGTCAGAGCACAGCCGGGGGAGCGAGCCAGCCCGGCCCCTGCGGGGGAGCCTGCGCTTCCCCGGGGCGGGTGCGGGGACGGCTGCGCCCGGGGGCGTGCTCCTCTCCGCGTCCCAGCTCGCGCCGGCGACGAGGGCGCCGGGACCGGGGACCCGAGCGCCCCTGCTAACCCCGAACTTCCCGCACCGTTTGCAGACAACTCTTTTGTTCGCGGAAGTTTGCGTCCGCCGCCGCCGGGATACGGGCGCACCGCGGCGGGCCCCGCGGCTGCTGGGCCGGCCGGGGCGGTCGCCCTGGGGGCTGAGGGGGCGTCCTGTCCCCGGCTGCTGGGGGAGCCCGCGGCGCGGCCGCGGCGGGGGCTTGCGGAGTGGGGGGCGCCGGCGGGGCTTTGCACATGGCGAGAAGGGCCGTCCGGCACGGGCACACTGGTCGAGTCACGTTTTTGCCAGTCCTTGATTTGCAAGCCTGGGGGAGGCGGCTTTCCCGCTGGGAGTTTTCTCTTGGTGGGGCAGGGACGAAGGAGGCGGGGGCACCTAGAATCCGGGGACGGCCCTCGGTTTGCATTGTCCCAAGGGGCTTCTTGGGCACCCCCAGCCCCCCCCCCCCCCCCCCCC